CTATATGAGTGATTCCGGTCACTCATATATAGCCCGCTGAATTTATAACGAGCTATTCAATTCAATTCATCAACCCCACATTTCCCTGCTGAATATCAAATCCCTCCCCGGCTTTAAGTTTCTATGGTGTATACAACCCTATGAATAACAAAGAAAACCTAGTGAATTGGAAACTAATGATGCTTTATATCCCTAACCTTTCAGAACAGCAAGTCACAACTGGTCACTATCAGTGTATGGATACGTCAGGTACGTTGCACTGTAGAAGCTTCTGCTATAGAGGAAAAAAACTTAGATGAAATAGCTTACTGACATTTCGGAAGTTAATCTTTCGTCACTTTTACTTCGACGAAGGACTGAAGTCCCGGCGAAACGTCAGTAAGTTCTTTCACCTAGAGCGGATTTCGTATGAGTGGGACACCGTTACCGCACGGTTTATACCGCACAGTTACCGGACCTGGCCTGCAGAATTTTGGTGAAACAATGGGGCACTCGAATTTGGTTACAGTACGATTACGGTCACCGTACAGTACCGTCCGTTTCCCACTCATACGAAATCCGCTCTACTTTCTTTATGGCGTTAAAATTTACTCATATTGCACTACTGTTTCTTTAGAAACAGTTTACCTCTCGTTTACCGCTAGTTTCCAAAAAATCCATTAGAAATAGTTCTCCTTCGCTAAGTTTAAGTCACTCTTCACCAAAACGTTTTCAGCATAGCGCAGGTTACTTTGAAGAGAATTATTCCCTCACAAAAATATATAATTTGTTCCAGAAATGGAAGAACCCATTCATGTCATGGAATGCATCCGATTATGGAGGAATAGACGTAGTTAATCTTAACCCAGAAAGATTATGGATTCCTGACGTTATATTGTATGATAAGTAAGTATTCACTTTCACTTTTACACTCTTTATTATCATTTGGATCAATATATAATTGACATAGAAATGGAAGAAAGTTACAGTGCTTAGAAGGAGGCAATTCCGGGAGAAAGACCCTTAGGAATAATTACGGAAAAATTAATTTCCGACCTCGCTGGGATTCGAACCCACGACCTTCGGATTTGTACTACCGATGCTCTACCAGCTGAGCTACAAGGCCAGACTGGGCGCACTGGTCGTCGGGGGTGGAATAGATGTTAGGTTGCGGTAATAGAATAATGTAAAGATATGAATATGAGGACCGCATGGCACTATGATAGAAACGATATAGAAATGAAAGAAAGTTATAGTGCTTAGAAGGACTAAGCACTATAACTTTTTTTCATTTCTAAAGGGTTTATACATAATTAATGAGTTATTAGGCAAATAGAATGAGCCTATTTGGTTCTCCGCCTTCGGCTCGAGTCTTTATACCTGATAAAACACTCTCTCTCGTGTTTTAATCTATACTTAATACTTACCTTTCAGTGCCGACGAAACGTACGCCGGAGGCCTTGAGAAATACAAGACGTCAGTCATTGTGTACAGCGATGGTACAAACGAATGGAATTCCCCAGCATCCTTCACGAGTACGTGTAAAATTAACGTCAAGTACTTTCCATTTGATAAACAAAAATGTTCACTAAAATTTGGCTCATGGACTTATATGGGTGACCGCTTGACAATGACATCAGCGTCCGACTCTGCCGACCTTAGCATGTACGTGAATAATGGTGAATGGCACTTGTTGCAAATGCCAGCGGTTCTCAACAAAGTCTTTTACAATTGCTGCAAATTTCCTTTTTATGACGTCACACTGCATCTAATTATAAAGCGAAAGCCGCTGTACTATGTATTTAACTTAATTCTTCCTTGTGCTTTGATTGCTACTTTGACTTTGATAAAGTTCTTCCTGCCTCCAGAGTCTGGGGAGAAAGTTGGCTTGGGTATCACGGTTCTTTTGGCTATGACCGTGTTTTTGCTCCTTGTAGCAGAGACTTTACCATCGACTTCTGACAATATCCCTTTACTCGGGCAATACTTTGTGGCTACCATGTTTGTAACGGCGGTCTCTTTGGTCGTCACATGTATAATTTTGAATTTTTTCCATCGAAATCCAGCAACATCGCCTATGCCACGTTGGGTCAAAGTTATCATCCTTGACTATATGGCGAGGGTCTTTTGCTTTGGCGTCTTCCACGAGGAGGAAAGCAAAATTCGACCCAAGAAACGAAAAAGTCGTATCGACCTTGACGTCACTTTGCCCGAGGGAGAACTGGGCATGGATGATTTGGTATCATTGCGTGAAATCGACAGCTCACGTACGGCAAAGTTTTCAAGAATGGACTCCCTACATTATCCCAGCGGTCGCAGCACTCCATGCAGGCGCAGTATTAGTATGATGAGTACTAACAATCATATAAACTCGCTTACTGAAAGACTATTGGAGGATATCAACATCCTCGCAGATGACGTCAGAGAAAAACAAGAAGATGAGAGGCTGAGGGAAGAATGGCGGTGTGCAGCACTCGTGTTAGATCGAATGTTCTTTTGGATCATGTCAGTTGTTTCCATTTTAACTTCGTTCCTAATCTTCTATAGAGAGCCAGTATTGGAAGGTTAATAACTTATGGAGACACTCAATAGGAAAGGGAAAGACCATTTCAATTGAAATTTGCAGTGCAAAAGTTCAAGAGTTTTCAAGGTTCAAGTGGCTGGACAAATATATTGATTTAGTATATGAAGTCAGCCAGTCCGATCGGTTTTTATGCGAGGTCTTAAGAAGACAGCAGTTCCCCCAAGAACTAAGTATAGCTTATATTCTGTTTATTGATGTCAAGAAAAAAACAAACTTATTCAAAAATGCTCGATTATAACTCAATTCTTGAACACAGTTGTTATACTAGGTAGAAGAAATCTAGCAAAACATCAGCAACTCTTGATGGTGCTTGACAATATGACCAACATTACCACTTTGAATTGCTTTAAAAGGTACAAAATACGAGCTGTGGCCCGGGCATGACACTAGGTCCGTTTCCGCTGAGTTCGATGCGACCTGTAAAAAAGTAAGGCATTGAAATATAARATCTTAAAAAGGTAAAAAATCTCGTTCAAGGTTGCGTAATAAGGCAACACTCATGCTAACGTGCGTGCTAAAAAAAATACAACAAACGCTTTACAGTGAAACTTTTTTCCTCGTAAAACTCAAAGACAAAGAACATGTGATCACTGCCACAATCTTCAAGTTAAGATTGCATCGATTTCGCTGTTCCCAAACTGTAAGAACGTATGCCTCAGCATTTTCTACAGCATTTGATACAAACAGAAAACATCAATAGTATATGATAAGGACTTATCAGTTATTCCTGGCAATTTACTAGGCTTCGAATGATACCTGTCATTGGTAGTGAGGATTTTCCAAATGCATTAGTTCTGGCCGACATATGAACGTTTGGCACCTCATATTACGCTGGTTTGACATGAGTTTAGTTYAAACCTTAACTTTCGACCATAGCAAATTTTCAACATAAAAACAAGAACTTAATTAGATCCTCCTAATTAAATACTCTAAAGGCTTCAGTTCAAACGTCGTTCTTTTCATGGGCTATGCTTTATTACAGCAGTAAATATTAAACCAAAGTTCACTTTCCCCCATTGTTTTTTACTGATAAAACAACAATAACAGATCAATTAATATTTATCTCGGGTGTCTTTTGTTCTTGTTTATTGACAAACTATATAAGCTTTAATTAGAGAGTGGATCCTTTGCTGCCGGAAACCTGAGCATTGAAAGACTATCAACGTGAACTAAATATTCTCCAAAGTCTCCCAATTGGCAATGCAAAAAAAAAAAAAAAACTGCGCCCGTGAAAAGTACTTCTTCTGGACTTGATCTTTGACTTGGTTTCGTATGAAAATGCACAGCATTTCCTGATGTAGTTCTAAGTCTACTTTAATGTGTTAAATTTATTTATAAATAGTTGTAGGTTTAGAGAATTCTAAAATCACCCCTAATCTAATAAAGAAGACGGATTTTATTTGACTTTGCAAAAGTCTACTACTGTATATGTTAAAAATAAAATATCGACTAAAGTTTTCCCGGCTTCAATATTGCTTACCTTAAATACATTTCGAAAACTTCTTTCTGTTCACTTTCCCACTTGTCGCCCTTYCGATGGAGAAAATAGCTTTTCCTCTTGTGTCCAATATTTCAAATTTCTCTTTTTCTTCTCTTTCCTCTTGATGACTGTTGTTTCTTTGGGGGTTCTGTTTGCTAATAAATCTCTTCTCGGCGATGTTAGAAGAACGAATTCCTCCCTTCTTAATAACAATCGCTTCTTTTCCTAATCCTTGTTCCTTGTTTGCTGTTGTTCGAATTTCTTGATTGYTGTTTTAGTTTTTAGCGAAATAAATTATTACGTYGCGTACTCTTTGAAAAAGTGTCGTGTGGCCTCATCATCTTCTTMTAATATGAGAAACGGGCCACCGAATAAAAACTAGTGAAACACTCACCCTCATTAATCGAAATTCCGATTACTGAAAATTATACAAATATTCTCGAYGAGCAACATTTATGCAAGGAGGATAGCTCTGTACAGACGTTACTAAGAGGCCAGCACACAAATCTAACGCAGTTAACGATTTGATAGAAGTTTTCCATCACTTCAAATCACCTGTTGGAGCAGGGAAAAAATCCAAGAAATGATGAGCGCAACATGATGACACTTGTAGGACGTTATTGGGTGAGGTTGGAAACCATCAAATTTTGAGMAAGGAAACCTRACKCRGCGYTGGAGCGTATTTTTTRAAAGAATTTCTTATCMTGTGRMAAMTTCCWGAYATTTYGACCATTTTCGAATTTAGCGCAACACTACCYAACATGCACGCAAAATTCTACGTGTGYGTAAGGTTGAATCTGCTTCGTGATTTGATTTAAACGTTTGCAGTTTTCGAGAGAAAAATTMTTTTGCCCAAYCGTTTAGAATGTASATGTAAARCTCACGTAGCATCATGTTAGCGGACTACATGTACGTCRAATAAACCTACGAAATGTTTCAGAGAYCTTCGGAMGCTTCGATATTTAAAACATTTCTTTATTACAGAACCTCTCTTCTTATCCATCGTTGATATCCGCCGATATAGTCGGTTGAATATATTACTTAAAAATAGTAGTACATTGTTTTATAAATGCCTCACTTAGCAATTGACTGTTCGTTTTGATCCGGATATCCAGAGTCCCTGAAGGGTCCACAGTTCCATGCAGTAAACATACAGGACCTTGAAGTATAGTTCCAGCAGCTATAATCTTTGAATCTATCAAAAAACACAGGTAGATAAGATAAATAAATAGATAAACAAAAGCGTTTCAAATCATTATCTCCAAGAGGGGCGTCTATCCTTTGARACATCACGTGAAATACTGTTTATGAATGGGTTCGTTGCKCCGCAATGCTGTTTTACGATKATTTCAAAATCTCCAMGTATGAACAGGGAATGTGTATGCAAGACGAACGCCRTGACCACATGAGATTRAATGCACTTACCGATAATATCTACTTTCTTCAAACCAAGACCTTCTTCCATCAGTTCAACAAATTTGTCAGTGCTACTAATATTAGTACTAATACTCTGGCGTTTCTCGAACGGTGTTTCACTCCATTGGGCCCCAAAAGAGTCGGTGTCGATGGTAAGAGAACGAACAAGATCTCTAAGGGGCAGTGTAGTGCTTATAAATAGAGTCTTTGCTGTATTGGTATAGTCTTTATAAGTAATCTTGCCACCAAGTGTCATGTGCAAGGCTGGTGACTTGTATTTCAACCCGACGCAGTGAGTTATCTGAACGAAAAGAATATGTCATAAACGATATTTCAGAAAATGTAAAGGAAATGGGTGGTTGGCAAAGTTAGTTAATTTAAGAAATTCCAACTAATTAGGGTTAAAGGAAACGAGAAAAGAAAAAGAAAATAGGAAAGAGAAGACAATGACGAAGATAACCTGAAATGAAATGAATAATAAAAAAAAAACAACAGAGAAAGAAAAAAAATACAATTAATGAAAGGCAGACAGAAGAAACAGAAGAATGGAAAATGGTTACCCAAAATTATGCATGAAAGAAAAACAAAACAAAACAAAACAAAACAAAAAAACAAAACACACACACAAAAAAAACAAAAACAAAAAGAAGAAGAAGAAAAAAATAAAAAAACAGCTACAAAAAAGAAATACTCAAAAATTGCTCACTTACCGATGACAAAGGCTCTAGAAYATGATCCACGAATCGATTATCGTTCGTCGAATCGAAAGACGCTCGAAGGTTTGAAGACGTCTCAAGCACGGTTACCACATTTGTCACTGGTGAGTTTCCYTGGCTTTGATTGGTTAAAAACAAAACCAAAACCAGTTCATCCGGTTTGTAGACTTTTTGAAGAATAACTCGTAAATTTGCGTCACTRCAAAGTTCTGTCTTACTTGTCGCACAAGGAAAATCCTGCAAATCTTCTGGTATTGTCAAGTTAGAAGAYGGTGGTTCTTCTAGATTAAAATGAGGCACATTCTCTACAATGTCGGCATCGAGAAGATTTTCMGACGAACTCTGTGTAAATCAATAAAGATTCGTGTATTTTTTTCTCTCCTTTGATTATCAATTAAGTTTATTCATTTATTATCGATGCTTACTTTTAATGTATAGTTTTTTTCTGTATTGATTCGGAACCATTCTTACCTTATTTGAAGATATACTTATTGCCGAGGAATCAATCGGCTGATCTAATTGTACACTAKCACCACTTTCTCTCTGTTCGTCAAGTAAAATAGAATCGAATTTTTTTTCATTTGGTTTTGCACTGACACCAGAAGCAATGTCAGAGTCACTATTTCCAGTATTGTCTTGCTGATCCTCAGAACAATTCAGCAGCTGATGTTCATTAGTCACCAGTTCCTTGTTATCAGTATGCTCATCCCGGGAAGTTTCGTCCGTTGTATCCCTAGGACCCAAGTCCAACAGTAAATCAATCTCCGTCTTATCCCCTTTAGGGTTGTTTTGGAGATATTTTCTTGGAGGAGGTGCGGGGGCGCTACCAGGACTCGCCAAATCCCAATTGTCGGAGTTTCGAATTCGATTGGAAGGACGAGTTGTTCGAGTGTTCCCTCGAGTCCGTCTTTGGTTTTGTTGTTTTGAGGAGGTGTTGCCGACTCCTTTGAAGATGTCGTCGACAACTTGCTTACTTTTCTCCTCGTGAGCGAAAACGACGGGGCTTGGTGTCGACTGGCAAAGAGGACGAAATGATTAGTTCCATTGGTTGTTCTCAATTTGGATTTTCGGTTACAAAATCATTTTTTTGTTTAAACAGAAGGTCTTCGGTATTTCTTTTTTATCCAGCGGTCGAAAACGACAATCATTGCCAAAATTATTAGCACGCATTCAAGTTTTATTAGAGCTCATTTTGTGCACCCTGTTTTCCTCCGGACAGTTTTGTTGTGGGCCCTTGTCAGTATTCCTGGTGTTAACAGATGGTATTCCCGTCCATCGTTTGGGGACCTCAGCTTTGTTCAAGAAGTGCATTTTAAGAAAACCTCACCCTTGCCAATAAATTTGCAATGATTGCAGCTTTGGGAAGCGCAAAAATAACATTAAATGTTGAGAAAGCGTAAGCCGGAAGTGAATTGAAAACAATAGAAAACAAAGGAATGGAAACGAGGCCTAAGGGCCCTTGAGGTGGTCAGATGGCAAATATCAGATGGCAAATATACACCTGAATTCAAGAAAAATTCCTTGTCAGTAGGAAAAGGACATTTTCTTGCTTCTTGTAAATTCAATAAGAATATTTTTTAATCCCTAAGTTACTTCCGGTTTATGTCGTAAGCGTGTAGCAATTATTGATCTACTAGTCATTGCAATACATACCTCTGCAACAGTCTTGACAACGGCTGGCCGCTCTGAACCCGAGCTTTTTGACGATGAGCCTGACCTGCTACCGGAGTCTACCGATCCTGATACGGGTGATTTTGTGTAACCTTTAGGACCCCAAGGTCCTTTTACTCCAGAAAGTGGCCTCGATAGCGCCGTTGTTTCTTCTTTTTGTTTAGGATTTTTGACCTTTTCTTTAACTTTTTGTGGAGTCAACTCTTGTGATGATGTGGGTGTTGGTTGTAAAGGAGTTGTTTTTGGACGTTTAGGCAGTTCGTATGGTGTCATTTTTAGTGTTGATTCGACGGTTTTTAATTCTAAAAAAATAATAAAACAAACAAATTATATGGCAAAGTTTGATATGTAAACAAACAAACAAACAAACAAAAAACAACAAAAAACAAACAAACAACGGATAAAATTATTCGATAAATGGGAAAGTTATGGATATGCTACAGTCGAGCAGTATCCCAAACTTTGATATGAGACAGGGTAGAAGAAAAGTACTACCTTTATCTGCTTCATGTTGTTCTTTGGTTCGTTCTGATTCTGGTTTATACGGACTAGCACCATTTTGTAAAGCCCTCGTCACGAAATCATCCAGAAAGGACAAACCTGAATCAACCTGCACAGATAAAAACAAGAGCCATGTGTTTTATTACCAAGACCCTGCAAGTGAGTGCACTACCGCGCAAGTTCTGCCAAAGAAAGACTTGGATACCTGTGCTCGTAAAACCTGCTTAAGTCAATGAAACTATTGAAAAATTGATCGCACAATCTTAGAGGTATTCGATATGCGGATATGGTATGCGGATAAAAACCTTTCGCGTTAGAAAGTGTCCGCATTTTGAGCGTTTTTTCAATAATTCCTCTTCAAGCCGTTTTCTATCATTTTTAGAYACGCTCGGGTATGTGTTGACGCACCTCGTTTTGTAAAAAATGTAGACTGGGCTGTATAAGGTCTCGTAAATGTTTGAAATGCAAAACAAAACAAAACAAAACAAAACCTGTAGAGTTAAGACTGTAAATCGAACATACCTCAAGGTCTTCACAGCTCGCATCTTCTGGTAAAACGGTCTTCATCATTCTTTGATCTTTCGCTAGAACGCTGATTTCGTGACACCGCTACAACATGAACATTCATGTCACACATTAGAATGATTCTAAGTAACGCAATRCTCAGTTGATGGTTAAAATGAATTAGCAAATGCAGTAARATACTGGTTGTGGGGTGTTGGCCCGGACCGCGACCGACTTAAGGGACTATAACCAACTGATAGTCTGTAATGKCCCATTTTACTTTACAATAACAAAAACTTTCCTTCGTAAAGCTTAAATTTATACTGGACAAGTATGTCTACCTGTCTGATATCAACATCTTTGTCATTACTTAATTGGAGTAGCGCCTTGTGTGTACTGCCTGGAATTTGCCCATTCATACGGGATATTAGTTTACCAATCGATGTTACAATCCATCTCTTGGTTGATGGATCTATGGAAAAATAAAATTACTAAGTTTACTATGTAGTTCACAAAATGGCTTAGATTAGACAACTCTACTCCGCGGAGGACTCTGTATTAAGGCCTTAGCCATATGAATATCATGCTTTCAATCGACTTTGAGCCAGTGTCTATATGGGAATATACATGTATGCATCAGGAGTTTCGGTGAACAATGCGTCCGCTATCTGGGAAGTGAGACCCATATACTGGAAAAGTCGATCAATTTACAGAGTCTGTGAATTTACTGAAAAAAATGTCTTTTTACAAACTTAGTAAATTGATTTTACAAGAGATTTACAATGTTCAATCGAGCACATTGTAAAAGATTTAAAGATATTTACAGAATGCACATAAAATTTGCAAACTTTTTTGTAAAAGGACATTTATTAAAAACTCTATAAACTAATCCATTTTCCAGTGACTCAAACCACTATGTTGTGCCTTAGAACACATTTCGTAGTTGCTACGTCAACTAATCTTTCATTATGTAGTTTTATATTAACWTGACATTAGCTTAGAACCGTTTAATAGTGTTTTGAGTCCCAGTTTTCAAGATGGCGGATGCATTGTTCTCCAAAACTCTTGATGCATGTATGATGATGTCAGTTCTACTATTACAAAAACGATTGTAAGATTATGACTAACCTGTGTAGTTTCTGTCCAACAGACTGCAGAGTTTTTCGATGACTGATTCAGGATCTATTTCAGATGCAGCGTACGAATACTCGCCTAAAATCTGGAAAATTATCAGAAATGAGAAGATAGCAGACAGTATTTACGAGTGAACAAATAAACGTAGATATGCGAACGACACTGATAAAACGAATAGGAAATAAAAAATATATAAATAAATAAAATACGAATATATTAAATCAATAAAGACAAACAAAACAGGCAATCAGGTGGATTGTAAAACGAAACGGAATAGAAGAGAGAAGAACAAAGCAAAACGAAAAGAAGCAAACCAACCAACCAAAATCACGCTAAAAACTAACAAATAAACAAAAATCTACAACAGCAACAACAAATCTCAAACAAGAACAAGCGATTAAGTAGAGAACACGCACCCAGCTTATAACTTGAACTAAAATATCCGGCAAGACTGGTTTGYCCAACAAATCCATGTAAGATATAACGGCAAAACGTCGGAGCTCTTCTTCAATCTCTTCGTCTTCATTACCTTTAGATAAAATTGTATAGTTCTACTTGAAACAAACGGCTTTGTAACCTACAGCCAAGTAGTTCTGACTCGGAATACTAGAATGATTTTCATAAACACGTGAAATACGCATTATGCGCCATTACTCTTTATTTTGTACGTTCACTCTCTTTTTTCGTGTACATAGCTTTATGATTCTTTGGCTATTACACATTATTTCAATGATAAAACCAAAGTGCATTGTTTTTCGTTCTATAGTTTTACCTGTTCCGCACAATCCAGAACTTTAATGGAAAGCAATTAAGTTTAGATAGTCTCCTTCTGTTACCTGCGCCATGTTGAAAGGTAGCCGTTCCTTTACATCGAAGCGAGACAACCGTTTAGCGTGCAGTGATAGGAAACTGTAGGTGTGAAAGAAGGTTTCTATCATTGCACGCACAACGGCAGTCTCGCTTCGATGGAAAGGTACGGCTACCTTTCAAGATGGCGCAGGTAAC